TCATCTGATGTTATCCATGTGCCCAGATACTTACATTTCTGTACTTGTCCTAAAATTTTATTTCATCGAACACCGGCTGTGAATTCCAGTGGAAGGTCAGGTAATCGTCCGCTTGGACTTTTGGCTTTCACCTGGACCTGATTTTTGCGTGTACAACCGTTTTTCATTTCCCTGCCTCATGGGCAGCTGTACGCCGACTTCGAAGGAAGACGTCAGGCCTATTTCTAGGGTGACTGTGGCCATTGTTTTGTGTGGGTCGAGACGTTGCCTGATTTGTGTGGTGTCCACATTGTCTCCTTTGCCGCAGGTATTGCCCCCGGAGTACCCCTTTGGGTCAGCCCCCTGTGGAGCAGTTAGCCCTCAAGGGAAGGCAGGGGCAGATCATGGGCATTCCCCGCCATCCAAGGAGGCATCCATGTATGCAGAGCCGGCACATGGCGCTCTGGTTCTGGGCTCACCCAAGGAATCGTCACGTCCTGCACATGCCTGCTTAACCTCACAACCGTATCAGGCCTCCCGCTCGACAGGGGCTGCGCCCTCTGGAAGTCAGCGGGGAGCAGCCCGTGGGTTTTGGACTTTTGTGACCACACAGATAGGTACATTCTTTTTTCTTCGCACGTTAGATTTCTTTGACGAGCCGTTAGCCCGACAGAATTTTACATCCTGCTCCAGGCATATCGTATCAGTTTTGTCCCAACACTCGGGCGAGTGGGGTCTTTGGGTGTGGACATTCGGTCTTTTTCAGTTCAATACAAATTTTGAGGGCAGATTTTGATCCGTATGATCTAGTTTTGTCGGACATTTAGGCTTAGCCATCCAATGGATGGTTGCTGTTATGGTGTACCACAGCGCGGTGACGACGACACTGAGGGTTAACCAAGGATGTACATGAATGGCCAGCCTTTGGATGGTCGCTGTTGTGGTGTACCCCAGCGCGGTGACGACGACACTGAGGGTTAACCGAGGATGTACATGAATGGCCAGCCTATGGATGGTTGCTGTTGTGGTGTACCCCAGCGCGGTGACGACGACACTGAGGGTTAACAGAGGATGTGCAGTGAACAATGTTCTCTTTACTCCGCAGTCTTTTAACCAAGGGTTGTAATTTTGGCTGTACGTTTGGCAGACCTACTCATGTTCCTAATGAGTTATAATAACATTTTTCACCCAAGCGTTTGGGGGCGGGCTGATGAGAGCCACAAGGACACATCACCTATGGGGGCCGCCAAACTCTGAGATCCCCTGACAGCTCTGTTAATGCTCATTTGAGACATTATCCGTGGCGCACGACGAGGACGTGCTGCCGGGGTCTTGCGTGAGGTTCCGTACAACCAGGATATTAAAGGACTGGCGCCCGAGTGACGTACGGAGTATCTCCTTATACACATCATGTTGGACTTAACTTCCCCTCACGCCTGTGACATAAATCACCGCGCCACTGTCCTAAAATAACACCATTGACTTTTATTGTACATTTAGGAATAATTCTTTTCTTTCATACCACCATTACTTCAGTCTTCCCATTATTCAAACTGAGGCCCATTCTTCCACTTTCAGTATGAACATCTCTTTCTGCCTCTTCTTCTAGTAGTTTGGACTGAGACACCGTGACGACATATACAGCATGGTTATCTTTGCGTATAGAGAAGACGTCGAGAGATGTTGCAATCACAACTCCCACAACAAACGGAACCATTATTTAGTGGCGCCAACTACATCTGCGTAAAGATTGGATATTACAGCATTTAAGAAAAGCCCATATTAGCTCATTCTTTCCCCTTCAACAGCCTGCTAAAATACTCTACAATGATGAAAAAAACGTATCTTAACCCTGCAAAACCCAGAATATGTTTCAATTTAGAAAAAAAAATTGAAATTTGGTTTTAAGGTTCAATATTAGGCCAATTGTCCATTCCAATCATAATTTTTCAAAATATGTGACCCTGACCTACTCTACACAAATGTTCCACCCGTGACCCATTGGGTCATTATGGTAAAAGAAAATATAAGAAAATACAATAAAATGCTCAATGACGTTCAGATTATTTATAATTATTTATTAATTTCAAAACACTTATACATGTAGTCAGTATCATCATCAAGTGCCTTGCCGACGAGTGTGGGCTATCAGGTCTCTATGCAATTCACAACTACATGTAACAGTTTGTGTATTGAAACACTTCAAGATAAAAGACTCAAGAATCTGTCAAGAATCTTCTTACGCTGTTTTCCCCCGTCTCTCCTTTCTCAGATCTTTCCAGTAGTCACAAAGTGTTCCAGTTTCCTTCTTCTCTAACACACATATTAGATGAACATATATATATATATACATATTTAAGCTAGTAAACTCAAGGCTTGTCTGGAAGGCATCATCGTTTTTCACATGCTATTCTACAACATACTCATTTTTTAATGTGAAATGCCCTATAACAGTTCTTTGTTCTGTGAAGCACAAATGGCGCACACATTTGTCACAAACAATGTTTGTCATCTGCTGACAATGTTTGTCGTCTGCTGACAATGTTTGTCGTCTGCTGACAATGTTTGTCGTCTGCTGACAATGTTTGCAGCGTTGAAGAACTTTGTCTATAATAGGAAAGTGGAAAAAAAAAAAACCAACCATCCTCACGGCTACATCAGGCACATTTTGAAATTGCCTTTTTTTTTTCTGGATAGAGACTCTGTTTTAATGCTTGGTTGCTTACGCCTAATTCCACCAATGTCGATCAGCTGTGCTGCAATCTTAGCCTGAAAACGGCGCTGATTTAACACGCCCTTTTCCTATATAACTAAAATGATGCACACTCGACGATATGAAGACGGCAAATCTGACTGTGTGCCAAAAAATGACAATATACCATCTCCTTGATCTAATACTCAGTGTATATTTTGACAGACAGCAACCCAAAAAGCGGCGTCTGTGGCTTAGGCGTTGCGAAACAGACTTGTAATCCAACGTGCCGCGATCGAAACCCACTGCTGGCTGCATGGATCTTCATCATGGTATGGGACGTCGCAAACTACTGGACGTAAATTTGCCTAGAAAAATCACACAACAGCCAGGGGCTGTTGGGGTTAGTTCTGCAACGTCCTGTAAAGGATACACAACTAACCTAATGGGACGTCGCAGGTCGACCCAGCCGAAAATGGGTACTAGGACGTAAAGACAGCCGGCGTGATGCTGACTACATTACCCACCGAGTGTCGATTTGTCTGTAAAAATATGGGTGCTCTATCCATATGCCCCATGCGCCTATAGGCGTGAAAAAGGGATCTTTACCCATACTTTTATTAGCAGCCCAAAAGATCAACACCTCACATTGTTTTAACATCTCACATTGACCAACCGACCAACAAGAGACACGACCGACTGACCGACCGACCGACAAGAGTCACGACCGACCAAGAGACACGGTCGGTCGGTCAGTCGGTCGTGTCTCTTGTCGTCGGTCGTTTCTCTTGTCGGTCGGTCGGGTCCCTTGTCAGTCTGTCGTGTTTCTTGTTCGTCGGATCTCTTGTCAGTCGGTCTGTTGGGTCTCTTGTCGGTCGGTTGGTCGTGTCTCTTGTCGGTCAGTCGTGTCTCTTGTAGGTCGGTCGCGTTTCCTGTCGGTCGTGTCTCTTGTCGGTCAGGTCTTTTGTCGGTCGGTCGTTCGGTCGGTCGTGTCTTTTGTCGGTCGGTCGGTCGGTCGTGTCTCTTGTCGGTCGTTCGGTCGTGTCTCCTGTCGTTCGGTAGGGTCTCTTGTCGGTCGGTCCTTTTTCTTATCGGTACTTTCTCTTGTCGGTCGTGTCTCTTGTCCGTCGGTCGGTCGTGTCTCTTGTCTGTCGGTCGTGTCTCTTGTCGGTCGGTCGGTCGTGTCGCTTGTTGGTCAGTCGGTCGAGTCTCTTGTCGGTCGGTCAGTCGAGATTTTGTTGGTCGGTCGGTCGTCTTTCTGTCGGTCGGTCGGTGAGTCGTGTCTCTTGTCGGTCAGTCGTGCGTCTTGTCGGCAGTCGTGTCTCTTGTTGGTCAGTCATGTCTCTTGTCGGTCGGTTGGGTCTATTGTCGGTCGGTCGGGTCGGTCGGTCGTGTCTCTTGTGGGTCGTGTCTCTTGTATGTCCAATCTATTGTGAGCCGCTGTCTATCCTTCTCTGCATGCTGGAAAAGAATTTCAAACCTTCTTCAGTGACCCTCTTGTCGTGCATCCGATCATACTGTAGATCATGCGCAGCTTTCGTCATCGCAAAGAACCAACGGGTTGGTTTAACGTATATGTAGAGATCGGTTATTCCTCTGGGTGATACTCTGCCCGGTCCCAAGAAAGAACTGTAAACCCAAGATGTCCCGAGATAACAGCGACCAAGGGGCCCTTCCGGTTCCGACATTGATAGGGAATTTATGACGGTTGAGAACTTGGTTTATGTTGACCATTCTCGTCGATATTCTTTGCATGTTTTCTCAAAAACCAAATTTCTCTGTAAGTAAGTATTTTTCATTGCAACTGCTTATTGTCCACGCCTCAATAACATATAACACATATTCTATAAAGAACGGTAAGAATTTTTTTCGTAGTCATTTCAAAGTGAGCTTCTCTCAAAGTTAAAAGTAGAGGATAAACACACCAATAAGAAGTTTATGTGGAGTATACAAGCTGTTTAAGAAACGGGATAAGAGTTTTTTTTTTTTAATCCGGCTAGTTTCTTATCAGCAAGTTTCGCAGAAAAGTTGCCCCTTTTTATCCCAGTCGAGATAACTTTAAACGGCGTGAAGATCACGTCTGAAAATCAGATCTGGACTGTTGGACTTTGTCCTTCTGAAAGGCGATATAAGAAAGTGAATATCTGTTACTGCTGGCTGGTGTCTGCTTACAGCTGAACAAGCGTGGTTTCATATCATAGTGTCTAAATTGTATCTATTATCTATAGCGACTTGATGTAACGGATATTGGACAGACATTGGCGACACAAAGCTCATCTGATCTGTTTTGCTCATCTACATTAGTCTGTTAGTGGACAAGGATACTAACATGTCTGCGATAGTAAACGTGGGACTTGTCGTCCTGGCAGCGGTGGTTCTTCGGCAGTGGCTGTTAAATGATTCTCAAACTTCTGCACAACTAGCCGAGACCCTGAACTCGTCCTATGACTACATTGTTGGTATGTATGGTTTGCATTTGTCGGTATCTTATCCGCATTTATATGGGTTTTTTTTTCTGCAAACATGTGTTTCTTTTCTGCGTTTATGTGT